GCTCGGTGCGGACGCGTTCGTCGACGGCTCGCGCACAGACCCGGCCGCGGCGCTGCAGGCGCTCGGCGGCGCGAAGGTGATCATGTCCACCGCGCCGAGCGCGGCAGCGACGGAGGGGCTCATCGAGGGCCTGTGCGTGGACGGCACGCTGCTTGTCCTCGCGGTCGAGCCGGAGCCGATGCGGATTTCCCCGCGTAAGCCGACGCGTCGCCTAACCTCCCTGTTGCTGCTGCTGACGGACCGACGGCGTGAGCAGTGTCGCTGCTCTTGAAGCGCCTCTCGATCAGGGGCTGGCCTTGCGGCTCGCCGAAGGATGCGGAGGACTGTCTGGCGTTTGCGAAGGCGAAGAATGTGAGGTGCATGGTCGAGCGATTCCCTCTGCACAAGGCGCAGGAAGCGTTCGACAGAAGGGAAACAGCGCGATTCCGCGCGGTCATCGTCCCGGGACTATAGAGTGCCCCCATTGCTGATGCCCATTTGCTTGTGTTGCAGTGTATCTTGGCCTTGTTTCCCTTGGTCGCATAGTAAATCTCTCTGATGATCATACACTGTCGTTTAACGCGGACACACTATCGCAAATACTACAGCTTCTGCTCTTATCTACCCACTTTACAGCATACACATCCACCCGTCTTTAAATCGTATGGCGTTGCCTGGACACTTAGACAATCTGAACGCTCCAGTACAGCATGTACGTTCGGCGGTTCGGGACGAGGTCTTTGAACTTCTCCACGAGCTTAGCCTCCACAACGACCTTGCTCGCAAACTTCTCTCCTTCGACCTCGGCGAACACCTTCTTCCAGAGGCGCGGCCAGGACGCCTCGGAGTGGCCGTACCGTTTCCTGTCCGTCCCGCGAGCCAATCAGCAAAGTAAAATGCGTCTGCGGCAGCGCACCGTACCTCCCCAAGTGGTCGTCGACATATCCCTCCTCCTCCAGCCCCTGGTGGCGCCCGAAGACTACCGCGCCCGGGCGACGGCGCAGGAGCGCTGCGACGCGCAGCGCGAGCGCGTACTGCGTCTCCTCGTCGAACAGGTGGAACAGCGCGCCGGCGTACACGTGCGTCAGCGCGCCGCGCAGCTGCGCCAGATCGGTTATCACCGTGGACGGGCTCAACAGCTTCTCGAGGTCCTCGGGCGCCGCAGTGGGGGAAGACTCTGCCGCGGACGGGGCGGGGGACAGGTCGAAGACGTTGGCGGTGAAGAAGCGGATGGGGCTGCGGCCGGCGTCGGCGAAGAGCTCGTGCCCGAGCGTGATGTATTCGGGGCGGATGTCGCATCCGAGGACTTGGTTGGCCGGGTAGCCGTCCTGGACGACCTTGCGCACGTCTGTCCCCACTGGGCGCGTGTGGGGGCGGTTAGTGCTAGTGTGAATAGGTTAGAGCGTGGGGGCGGGCACGCACTGCAGCAGCCGAGGTCGAGGAGCAGGCTGGTGCGGTCGCGCTTGCCTGTCTCGAGGACGGCGGGGTAGACGTCGTTGGTCGCCATCATGAGGCTTACGAAGTGGAAGGCGCGGATGCACGGGTACGGGTACATTTCGCTGTGAGAGGCACGATCAGGCGATCCTTTCGATGACAACAGGGCCAGAGGAATCTCACTATGCTCTGCGCGACAGCGAGGCAAGTCAGCTTCATCGTGCATGGGAAGGGTCATATCGATGGTCGGCGCCCACCTCTTCTGAACGTCGCCCACGATCTTCTTCAACTTGTCGTCATCTTCGGATATAGTAGAGTGCAGGAACGCGAGCTCTGTATCCGACAGACGCAGCAGTGTTGCGTCGAGCGGCGGGATGACGGAGGGGTCGACTTGGCCCTCTGGATCGGACATCGTTGATGATGGGGGCACTGTTCAAACAGCAATGTCCTTCAGACGCGCAGACCTTGTTATCAGTGCTCCACCAGGTGGTTATTCGTGGGCCTGTGAGATAGTCATGCGATGTCATACTGGCATTGTGTGATGAGATCCGGTGCGTCGTTTAAATGGAGACTGATAGTGTTGCTTACTGACTTTTGCAAGACCTTGGGCGGGTTATACCCCTGCAGTGGTCATCTTCATTTCTGAACGATAGAGTGAGAATGTCAGCACCCAAAACAACTTCAAAGAGGTTCGAAGTACAAAAGGAGGTAGATGCGGGCGCCTAGCGTTCTATCCCCCTCGCTCATGCCACCATGCAGGAGCCCTTGTGTCAAGACATGAGTAAATAAACCTTTTGCCACCACACTCCGTGCACATATATGCTTTGGCAATATTTTTGGGGCGGAGATGGAACGACGCATTTCACACAGCCTGTCACAACTCATGCGTGTGCACATGGAACAGCCAATCCAAAGCTGATCATAATATGTTTCCAACGAGGTACGTTGCCCCAATGAAATTTCGGGCATGCTCTCGTGGTCTCAGTCGTATGTTTTCACTAATAACACGTTTACACACAGGCAAGAAGGTCGTCGTACGCTCGCCATAAATAGTCCAACTAGTCTTGGTGCCAAACGGTCTCAGCCATACGAGCCAAGGCACCACTTTGATATCTCCGAGTCTCTGTGGACCTCTACAGATGGTATCGCACGTTCCCCATCTCGCAGCTTCGTAATCCTACTTGGCACGACCGATGGCTTCTCCCGGCCGAGGTGCGGTTCTGCCGACCGCTGCACACGATAGAATGACAACGGTGTCTCACACACGAACGTGCGTGGCCACCGCACGCTCACATCAATCGCCTTTTCTGCGGGGCCCTCTGTCCAGGTCCTGCCAACTCGCGAGCAGCCTCCCGCATATAAGCCGACGCTGTCGATGATGAAGGTTGTCGACCACCCGCACCCCGACGATGAAGGCATTCATGCGTTTGCGGATGCTTGCAGCGCTGCTGTCGTTTGAGGCAGGCATCTCTCTCGGGCTCCCGTCTGGTGCTCATGCTCCTCGTGCTGAGCCTGACCCGGCTTTTGCGGTGAATGTGACCCTAGGTGGAAAAGGCTACGTCAATAAGGTGCGACCATGATCATCTGCACATCCAGAGGCGCTCAACAATCGTGGATCAGGGTCTTGTCGGATTTGGCTTGATCCCATCGAACTTTAGGGAGTCCACAGGTGTGCACACTGCGGGTACAACGGTGCATATATCTAACCACACACAGGGGACACTCTTGGCTCAATCGGCAGCGCCATCGCCCTCAAGAGGGGTTCGTTCTCCAAACAGCCTAATGGATCGTTCACAGGAACGATTGTCGCTCAACCGGATCGCGGCTTCAACGTGTATGGCTATTACTAGCACTAATGAGTTATTCCGGATGGCTGACGTGCAGCCCATCCTTAGTGATGGTACGATTGACTACCAGGGGAGACAACACCAGATCGACTTTGTACTTTCGCCGTACTATGATGCGGATGATCTTTCCTTTGAAGATGGCCTGAAAACGTTGCAGCTCAGGTATCGCAATACACTCCTATACACCGAACGAGGGTCACAGAAGACGACTGGTCTCGATGCACTGGGTGTACGCCCAGGAGAGGTCTTATATCGGCTTCTCGCGTTCCAAGACCCCCCTCTCCCGATCGCACCGTCCAATGGACATCTTTCCGTGGATGCTGAGGGCCTTGCTCTGAATGCGGACGGGACGTATGTAGAACAGCTGACGTGTTTTGTGATATCCTTGCTAACAACCACGCAGCTTCTGGGTCAGCGACGAATACGGACCGTACATTTATCTCATGTCTGCAGCTAGCCAATTGATCGAGACCATCCAACCGCCGAAGGCCATCCTGCCCTTCGTCAAAGGGACGTTGAACTTTACGTCAGAGGTTGACCCTACCACAGGACGAGCGGGTAATCAAGGTGAGCTGCTGCGTGGCATCCATTCCATCCCATATAGCTGATTATATGCGTTTTTCGCGTCTTAGGGTTCGAAGGCCTCACCCTGGACTCATCAGGCAAAACCCTGTACGCCTTGTTGCAATCTGCGACTATCCAAGATGGCGGCTCGGACAAGTCGACCAGCCGCTTCACACGCCTCCTTGCGTATGACATCTCGGGCGTGCCCCTTGTGCGTCCGAGCCTGATTGGAGAGTACGTCGTCCCGCTGCCGCAAAGTAAGAAGGACAACACCCGCGCCGCGAGCGAGTTGCATTTCGTGAGCGAGAACGTCTTCCTCGTTCTCTCCCGCGATGGAGACGGCCATGGTGGCGACGATGCCAAGTCCTCGTACAAGTAAGCAGTTCGTTCGACCTCCTGCAACATACACTGATCCACGGCCCAGACAAGCCGACCTCTTGGACATCAGTGGGGCGACTGACATCCATGGCACCAAGTTCGACGATCCTAGCCATCCTATCGCAACCAAAGGGAAGCTTGACAAGAATATCACACCTGGAGAATACGTATCGTTCGTCGACTTTCTCGACGACACGCAGCTCGCGCGGTTCGGGGTGCACAACGGTATGCCCCCCTCTCCTTGGACATGACATGCAGTCGTTTAAGCCGAAATTCGTTGCGGAAACACAAGGCAAACCAGTCGACCAGACCCTCATTGATGCAAAGTGGGAATCTCTCGCACTGGCCCCCTGCATGGACCCCGCCTTCCCGGACGACTTCTTTCTCTTTACTGCGGTAGGCCAGCCCGCTGTTCTTGCATCCACGCTGAGCTAACGCTATCCCAGGCCGATAATGACTTTATCAGTACGGAAGGGGTCTCGTTGGGGCAGCCATTCGACGCCGGGCTTGATGTTGACAACCAGTTCATGGTGTTCCGCTTGACGCTCCCTGAAGCATCTGTAGGCGACATCAAGAAGAAGACCACATCACGAACTTAGCCTGACACACCTGTTTGTCGAGCACAAAACATAATACAAATTCGTCTTGACCCCTATGGGTATTGAAGCTGGAAGCCTGACATAAAAGAGATTAAACGAACCCTTGGTCCTCATCCGGGAGAGCTCGGATCGGCCAGAGCCGGATATATGACAGATTACGGAGGGCGAATGGGTTGTTGTCAACGTAGACAACAAAAAATCCTTCGAGCCGGGATCGAACCAGCGACCTCAAGATGTACTACGGTTTCCAATTACAGTCTCGCGCTCTTCCAACTGAGCTATCGAAGGACGTTAGTAGCAATAATGCACTCAAGCTATATCAAGAAATTCTACGTGGACGCATCAGAGCATTGCACGTGATACCCCCTGTGTTCCGGCGATCGGGCCGAGTCGGAGTCGCTCGCAGCGACTCCGCGACTCCCGCGAGACTGGAGCGTGATTGCATGAGGCTTGGACTGGACCGTGACTGCAACTTGAAGGATGCTCTGGCGCTGGCTTGTTTCCGTGTCGTGTGCCAGTCTCATCTACTCGTCCTCAACATCTGCAAGTGAACAGGTACCACTGCGCGCACAGAGTCACGCGCTCGAGGGTGTACTACGACGTTATGCCCTCTCGCAGCTATCCGACTCGCGAGTAGAGCGTTTACTACATCAGGCAGAGGTCATATACCTTGCGCTGAATTCATGAATTCTACTAATTATCTGAGGCGCTTTCTAGATCACTGATGCCCAGGTGTTGGCTGTAGGCCCTTCCCATGCGGACGTCTTCTTCCAGCTACCCGGAAAACAATGGGATTTGCCCATACCGGAGGGAGGATCTACACTGTCCTCTACCCGTTTCGAGGACCTACGTCTTCATGCCGGGGGGCGGACTCTGGGAACTCTTTCTAACTCAACGTACCACACCGTCTATCATCCGCTATACGAGATCGAAGAATTCATGGAGACCATGGCAAAAACATACCCTCACCTCGTCAAGCTCGTCAATTTAGGCCATACAGCTGAGCAGCGTGAGATGCTTGGAATGCACATCTCTAAGAGCGATGAAGAGCTGCGAAAGTCCGGCCGCGATTCTGTCAGCAAGAGGGTGGGATTCGTGATCACCGGCGCCCAGCATGCTCGCGAGGTTCGCATTCTCTGTCCTCCAGCGTGCGTCGTACCACTCTTATCCCGCCACCAAAGTGGATCGCTACGTCCACTGCGTTGTATCTGGCGCACGCTCTGGTCGCCGATGAGAGCGAAGAATTCGCCCTCTCGTCTTGGCTAGACTACTTCGTGAGCAGACTGGGCAACTGCACGACTGTCTCTGTATTGATTGCTCGTTAACAGGATTTCTACATCATCCCTGTGCCAAACCCTGACGGGTATGTATATACCTGGGAAAGCGACCGTTTATGGTACGGGAAAGACGCACCAGTTATGATGTGTGGGAACTCAGCGCCCCTCTTAGGTACAAAAACCGACAAATCGTCGGCCCCGCAGAGAAATGCGTGGGTGTCGACATGAACAGGTCCGTTTTTCTCCATCCAACGGCGACGTCCCGAGCCTGAGACCCCACACCCAGAAACTGGGTACGTCGCAGCGTCTCCAGCCAGAATACATCCCCCAGACCGCTTTCTAGGGCTATAAATGGAAGTCAAAGTCTCGGCTTCCCTCTCTTGCCGACGACACAGACGAAACGAGCGTGGCAGACTCTGACCCGTGCTCGACGTGGTACCCCGGCCACCGTCCATTCGAGGCCCCGGAGGTGAACAACATCGCGAACTTCATCACCACCCTGCCCGCGCTCAAGGCGTACGTCGACCTACGGAGCTACGGGCAGATGTGTGAGCGACCCTCTTCGATCCGGCCGTCTGATGTGAGGGCGGAGGGCTGATGTGCCCTATATGAGGAATGTAGTGTCGACGCCCTACTCGTTCTCGTGCAAAAAGGTCCCGAAAGACGCAGAAGACCAGCTCGAAGCTGCCCTCGGCGCCGCGAACGCGATCAAGCAGGTGCACGGTACCTCTTTCACAGTACGTCTGCACCCTTCCGCCCACACGCTAGCCCATCTGACTGGTCCGCTAGACCGGCAGCCTTTGCCATCAACTGTACAAGTACGCATTGCTCCTCTCGATATGCAGCTTTCACACACACACCTACGCCCCAACTCAAATCGTTCTACCCCTTGCCCCCTTGTAGAGCATCCGGCAACGTCGTCGACTACATGTACGCTAGGGCGGGCATCAAGTTCGCGTACTCCGTTCACCTCCGCGACACCGGCACGGTAAGCGCTCCCAATCCCCTCCCCTCTCTTCCACACGTTGTGCCAGAGCTCACTCCCGCGTACGCAGTATGGCTTCTCCCTCCCCGCGGAGTGGATCAGGCCAGTGGGCGAGGAGACGGCGAATATGGTCCGCTTCCTCGCGGGCTTCATCTCTGGGCGCGGCAAGAAGGGTGCGTCCCCCGTCTTTGAGCCTCCCCCCTCCCCTGCCATGGTGTACGACTGATCTCCGTCTCCCACAGTGGCTCGAGACCATGGGGTGTAGCTATGTGTATCTCTTGGTATATCCACACCTGTATGAATATATCCCCTGAACCCATGTCGTGCTGCCAGGGCACGTTTTCCGCTGGCGCGCAGCAGGCGCAGCGTTCGGAGATCAGTCCACGAGAGAGGAGTTGGTATATTGCAGGAAGAGCAGAAGAACGTGACGAGGGAAGACGAGAGAGAGAGACTGTACAACCGCGAGCGATCTATGCGAACACAGCACATATATGGACGAGGTCGGTCGTGGGTGGGCATCGTGGTGGTGTGTGGGGGGGATGAGAGTACGTAAAGGGGAGGTCGATGAGGATGGGGTGGAGATGAGTATATGCGCAGGCGAGAGCTAATAATGCAACAGGTGCGGAGCAAGGGCGCCCGTCCGACCGTCCGTGAAAACAAATAGTAGATGCATGCTACATGAGAGAGATATTAACAGGGCAACAGGAAAACGAGATGATCCACACGACGCCAACTATGCTGGACAGGGCACACGCAACCCCGCGGTGCATCGTGCGTCGTGTAACCAAAAAAAAAACACAAAACGTCATTCACGAATACTCGCGCCCGAGCGCACTCCGCCGCCGCTCGTCGCTCGACGAGCCGATCTCGGGGTCCATCCGCCCGATGATCTCCTCCGACGCGATGCTGAATCCGCTCCGCACGCTCCCGGTCGACCCCTGCCGTGGGCGTACGTAGTTCGCCGGGGGCAGCCCCGCGCCCAACTCGAGGCCCTCTAACGACAGAGGTGCAGGCCGGGGGACTGGGCCTGCGAGCGGGCCGTCCCGACGCGCGCCCCCAGTAGCGTAGGACATGGGGTCGAGCGGGGGGAGGCGCGAGGTGCTGCCCCGATCCCGGCTCGGCGTCGAATCCGGACGCGGGCTCTCGCTGGACTCACGCCGCCGACCACCGATGCCCTGGAGAGACGCGAAGAACGCCTCGTTCATCTCCCGCAAGCGCTCGGCCACATCAGACTCAGTCGTGAGCATGGGATACGGCGCCGACACCGTGCGCGCGCGAGCGGCGGCGGCGGGGGCCTGAGGAGCGCCGTCATTGGGCGTATGGTGGTCGCTCGACTCAGACTCCTCGCGAATCGTTCGCTCGCGCGCGAGCCGTGGCACCGGCGGCGGCAGACTCGGTGCGGGCGATTCGTCGTCGCGCCTGCTGGAGAGCGGCTTGCGGGCGTCGATCTCCTGCACGAACGCAGAGATGTCGTCATCGTCCGTGTGCGTGCCCAGGTATGACGTGCCCTGCACGCGCCCAGTCAGCTTCGTGCACGCCGAGAGAACGTCAGAGGATGCGGAGACTCACTGGGACCCTGTCGATCTCCTTTGTTGCGCTCCTCGGGCTGCTTAGCGGACTCGCCTCTCGACTGCCTGTAGCCCCTTGCGCGCGTGGAACGAAGCTACTCGTGTACCGGCGGCCTTGCTGGCGCGGGGAGCCCTGCGCACCTGCAGAGGCGGGGCTGGCGGGAACACCTTCTCCTGAGGCGGGCGATCGTCCAGAGCCCAGACTAGACGGTGCGAATGTCGGAGAGGGTCGGAATGGTGTGACGGGGGCTGATGCAACGTTGCTCCCAGCACCTATTGGCGACGGTGGCACACGGGACGCCGTGGGTGACTGAGCTGGACGAGACGGTAGCGACGGACCGCCGGCGGAAAGTGGCGATTGCTGACGAAGAGAGGGGGATTGCGAGTGAAGAGACGGCGAACCGGACGATATGGTCGACGACTTGAACGCGTTCACTGTGGTAATAGGTGTACGGCGAATAGGAACGCCACCCGGTGTCGGGCCGTCTTGCTAAAGGGGCATCAGAGGACGCATATACGCACACAAGTGACGTTACGCACTGAGCTTCTGCCCTGCAAGCTCTCGCGCCGGACACGAGCAGCCAGGGTATACACATCCTCACGCGATCCAATCGAGGCACCTCCTTGCCTTGACGAGAACGAATCTGATACGCCAGAAGTACCCATCCCCGCGCCAGAGAGGTTGCGCGTGACCGGGAGCGGGATATTCGCTAACTGTGGGCTTCCACCCGGACTACCTCGCACACCTTGCGTTGAGGAGAAGGAGGTCGTGCGAGCATGCGTCGCAGGCGCAATGACGAATCTATCGGCGACCGAACGTGGGGGCGAGCGGGGCAACGACATGCGCAATGGTAGGCTCCCGGGAGAGCCCGATATGCTGTCGCGTTGCTGGTTCTTCACCAACGTCGGAGTGAAGTCTGGACCTTCTGAGAGGAAGCGCGAGGATAGGAGCGACTCCCAGGTGTCCAATTGGAAGCTGGGTTGCGTAAGATACATCGCGGACACGCCCAGCTCCCCCACGGGGTGTGTGATGGGAGGCAGGACATGTCTTTCCCTCTTCAGTACGGGCGCGATAGATGCAGGGGTTGTATCTGGTTTTCGAAGCGTCGGTTAAGACACCATTGTTCTCGTGGGTCCGGGGGCAGAAACAAAGCACAGGTGACTCACCGAAAGTCATCACTTCGTCTGCTCTGATGCTGCTATCAACGCTGTCCACGCGGAGCTGGATGCTGAAGCCGCTGCGGCTGCCGCCCACCCTCCTGCGGAGCCGCCGGGCGAGCTTCCAGGCGGGCAGGACACGCAGGAGGGTGAAGATACTTCGGAAGAGCGGGATACCGTGCTTGTACATCGTCGCAGGCGCAACGTCGGTGCGATCGTCGCTGTCGTTGAATCGAGCATGGTTCGGGGTGAACTCGATGTTCCAGGACTCGAGCACGATGTAGCGCGGGGTGGGGTCGA